AAATTAGATACAAATATATTTTTTGTTTACAGACGACACGCCGCCGTGTCTACTGCTTTCAAAAAAGGAATTGATATTGATACCATACGACATACCGTTGGTTGGTCTACTCAATCTGAAACATTCTTTAAATTTTGTAATAAGCCGATACAGACAATTCTAGTGATCAATTTATACGTGCAATCTTACAAGGAGATGCCACCACCTGCTAAATTCAATTTCTGAACGAGACATAGCACGTTCACTAGCTGCGATGTTAAGCATCAGCATCCTAATTGGGGTTTGTGCCAATGGGTCTTTGTTTGTGAGAAATTACAGTATAAAGTTTGGGTTGCGGGACTGTATCACGAATATGGCTAAAAATACGACTGTCTTTCAGCGAGGCGCCGTGGCCGAGTAGACTGAGGCTTCCACGTCGAAAATTTTTTAGCCGGAAGCGAGCGTTCAAAATCCGGCGACGAGTTTAGTTATCCTTGTGCGATATTTTTTTTTTCTTACCTTAGGGCATGTAATTAATGTTTTTTGAATATGATACATTTGTTTTGCATATATCTCGTTTTTATGCTATTAATCAGGGATAATTAGGGAAGTGTCAGGCTTGTTTAACGCAAACACGAATATAGACACATATTTTGCATTGCTTACAATGAAATATATATTTTAGTACATCACTTTTGTATAAAAATATTGTATACAACATTGTCATATAATAAAATAGTCATATAATAAAACATATAATATAATAACATATATTTCATATATTAACATATATAAACATATATAAACATATATTTCATATAATAAAACATTGTCGTATAATAAAACATTGTCATATAATAAAACATTGTTATACAATAAAACGTTGTCATATAATAAAACAATGTTATATAATGAAATATTGTAATATAATAAAACATTGGCATGTAATAAAACATTGTCATATAATAAAACATTGTTATACAATAAAACGTTGTCATATAATAAAACAATGTTATATAATGAAATATTGTAATATAATAAAACATTGGCATGTAATAAAACATTGTCATATAATAAAACATTGTAATATAATAAAACTTATACGCTATAAACATCTTTCATTTTTTCGCAATGTTGCGGATGGATTCAAAATAATGCATTCATTGCATGCAGTTGGTGCAAACATTTGTTATGTTTTCATTGTTTTTATACAGAATTCCATCCGCCACATTGCGAAAAAATGAAAGATGTTTATAGCGTATAAGTTTTATTATATATGACAATGTTTTATTATATGACAATGTTTTATTATATAACAATGTTTTATTATATGACAATGTTTTATTATATGACAATGTTTTATTATATGACAATATTTTATTATACGACAATGTTTTATTAAATGAAAAATGTTTTATTATATGACACACACATACACACAAATGTTTTATTATATGATAATGTTTTATTATATGACAATGTTATATACAATATTTTCATACGAAAGTGGCGTATTAAGATATATATTTCATTGTAAACAATGTTTTATTATATGACATACACATACACACAAATATTTTATTATATGATAATGTTTTATTATATGACAATGTTATATACAATATTTTCATACGAAAGTGACGTACTAAAATATATATTTCATTGTAAGCAATGCAAAATATGTGACTATATTCGTGTTTGCGTTAAACAAGCCTGACACTTCCCTAATTATCCCTGATTAATAGCATAAAAACGAGACATATACAAAACAAATGTATCATATTCGAAAAACATTAATTACATGCTCTAAAATAAGAAGAAAAAACTTCGCACATGGACAACTTGTCGCGGTGATTCGAACGTTTGTTGCTGAACGTTCGAAAATGTTCAACGTGGGAGCCTCATTCTGCTCGGCCACGACGCCTCGCTGAAAGACAATCGTATTTTTAGCCATATCCGTGTTACAGTTCCGCAACCCAAACTTTATACAATAATTTCTCAAAAACAAAGGCCCATTGGCACAAACCCCAATTAGGATGTTGATGGTTAACATCGCAGCTAGCGAACGTGCTATGTCTCGTTCAGAAATCGATTTAGCAGGTTGTGGCATCTCCTTGTTAGAATAGTTATGTTTAGTTACTAATGTGTTGTAAAAAAATGTTCAATATAAATAAACAATTATTTTTTGAGAGTTGTCATATAAACATCTACATACATTATCGAGAACGAGACGCGTAATATATTTAAAAGGTGGAACGAGCTCACCGAAAGTGGGCAAAGTTCGACCCCAATTATATGAACCGTTTCGTTCGAAGATGATCTATTTACTCGTCCCATTATTCCCCATAATATTACCCAGGATCATCAAGACAACAATTCCTTTGTAACTTTTCTTATCTCTAAGTTATATGAACATCGTTGACGATACATGGAGGGAGATCCTCATAGAGAGGTGCTATGCACATCAACTTTTTTATGCTCCAAACGTTATAAGATTTTGGCATGACTAAGGCAACTACATATATTATCATTTTTGAACGTCACACTTCATATAATTAAGGTCAAACGAGCTCACCGAAGGTGGACGAAATTCGACCTTTTAATTGTTAATATAACAATGTCTCTAATTTTCAGGCATGAAAATATGGTTGTTTGGCATAAAAATTCTTTGAAAAGTTTCATTACTTTTAGTTTAGACGGATTTAGTTGAGCCTGGTGCGTGATATGAAACGGAATTTTTTTAAGATACTTATTTGCATTTTACTTACTTATACCTTATTTGCATTTGTTTCTATATTGTTGGTCACGCGCTGACAGTTAATTGATCAGCGACTTTGATTGGTTTAACAAAATATTTGGTGAAATATGAACGGACCAGAATGTCGGTTGAAGTTATCAAAATTCTGTTCAAGTAAAAAAGATTCTGGTTAATTAAACAAGATTTTTAATTAACTTTCAACAGAATTGTGATAATTTCAACCGGAATTCTAGTTCGTTTATATTTTACTAGACATTTGGTTAATCAAACAAAATTCTTTTCTTCGAATAAATACTAAAGTAATAATATAGTAAGATATTTGTTTATTAATTTATTGTACGTGATCTCACAATGGAAATATATAAATAATTTGTGTTACCAAAATCGAAAAGCATTTGTAATTCTGAAAGGGTTGACTTATATTTCAACTTATATTTACTTAATATTTTCTATTCAATATAATGTATACTACCTACGCTGTAAGTTTTGAATTCCTTTCTTGAATACCATGTATATAATTATACATTATGTTGAATATTATAATTCCGTATAGGTAAGAATTAACGTATACAGTGCTTTTTGGATTTGGACATTATATCGCATTATATTTCTTGTATCGCAACAATATGCATCTGTGCCAGATATGCATCTGTGTTCTTCAGATTTTAATTTTACTGCTAAATCGTATTTTTTAATATTCTTATAAAACAGATCTGCTCAGTTTCCGTCGTTAATCTACTATCAAATTATTAAATTATGTTAATAAGCTCTGTCGACAGAACAGTTTAATGTAAACACAGATGACTATGGCTTTGCTGCGGCTTTTCGATTAAATCTGCTGCTAATCCTTTCATTTATTGTATAATGTGTTGTCTGAAATGTTTATTTGTTTATTGGGTAATATTCTCTGAAAGATGCATCTATTAGCATGTATATTATGGCATTTATATGTTGTTATTAATATAATGTTATATATTAACAAAACTCATTGCTCGTTCAATTGAACTAACAAAGAGATGCCACAACCTGCTAAATCGATTTCTGAACGAGTCATAGCACATTTGCTTGCTGCGATGTTAAGTATCAATATCCTAACGGGATTTGTGCCAATGGGCCTTCGTTTGTGAGAAATTACAGTATAAAATTTGGGTCGCGGGACTGTATCACACATATTGCTAAAATTGCGACTATCAGCAAAGCGGCGTGGTTGAGCAGACTGAGGTTCCCACGTCGAACATTTCTAAGCTGACAGCGAGCATTCGAATCCAGGCGACGAGTTGTCTATGTGCGGTTTTTTTTTCTTACCTTAGAGCATATAATTAATGTTTTTCGAATATAATACATTTGTTTTGCACGTCTTTCATTTTTATGCTATTAATCAGATATCATTAGATGAGAAACAACAATAAACCATATACAAATGCTTACAAAATATAAGTCAACATATAATTTGTAAATAATATCACTGAAATGTACAGCAATCTATCTGCCGTGCAATGTTTTTTATAGGCAGGTTAAAAGTATGATAACGAGAATGTACAACAATTCTGATTTATTTATAAGCGATAAAAGTATACATTTGTACATTCGAGGTAATACAATGCACATACAAACACTTTCTCACTATTTATCATCAGTACCAATAATATTTTTAAATGTACTAAAAATATATTTCATTGTAAGCAATGCAAATTATGTGTCTATATTCGTTTTTATGTGTTTGCGTTAAACAAGTTTGATACTTCCCTAATTACCCCTGGTTAATATTAATAGCATAAAAACGAAGGACATATGCAAAACAAATGTATTATATTAAAAAAATATTAATTACATGCCCTAAGGTAAGAAAAAAAATATCGCACACTCATACCTCGTTGCCGGCTCAAAAATGTTCAACGTGGGAGCCTCAGTCTGCTCAGCCATGCCGCCTTCCTGAAAGATAGCCGCAACTTTAGCCATATATGGGATATAGTCCCGTGATCCAAACTTTATACTGTAATTTCTCACAAACAAAAACCCATTGGTATAAACCCTGTTAGGATATTGATGTTCAACATCACAGCTAGCGGACGTACTATCACTCGTTCAGAAATCGAGTTAGCAGATTGTGATATCTCCTTGTAAGACAAACGCTCGCATAGCTAACATATTTCATTATCAGTCATTTCACAATGTATTTACATGTATACCGCGATATGTGTACATAATCATTTTATGCATAATCATCTGTTCTCTGCCATCATATTCGTAAATGTTACTCCAGAAATGACGAAGCCCGTGCAACCAGCAGTGGCGCCCGAAATTGGGCGTGACGAGCAACCCGATGAACGGGACAATGAAATTGTCATCGAGTTGGATCGGGAAAATCAGTACGGCCGTACGCAGCCAAGGGCTAACGAGCCTCAAGGTAATCATTTCCGCAAAACGGAGAATTGTTCACAATTGCTTCATACCATTAACATCATTTTCAATCCTCGTGTCAAAGCTGACGAATCTTACTCATGATACATGATCTAGCTTTGAATAATTTTTTTCACATAATTTTTTATTTATTTTTTTAAGTAAATTTCATATTATATTTAAAATTAATCTGGTTTACTTATGCATTATCTTATATTATCATTCCTTATCATTCAATTGAATGAAGGCGATAATTCTATATAAGTTAAGAATATGAAATAGGATAATTTTGTACGAATCTCTTTTCTCTTTTCAGAGATAACCGAATTTGGAAGTTTCAAAATTGATATTTCTTTCTAGTTTTACGTTTAATTAACTCTCAATACCAAATCTCAATACCAGGTCAAAATGTTGTTAATTTTTCAATTAAAAGAAAAAGAAAACAAAATCTTATACTTGTTAAAACTTCAAATAAAGTCTTAAGATTCTTTTCGTCATTTTTAATATATTCTTTTACGTAAAAACGTCATCTTCTTTGCACTTTCTAGATATACTATCACTAATAGCAGCTTACTTTATATACTAACACTATTTGTACTTTTTATGTGGCAAATATATTTACTGTGAAGTTAATTGTATTTTTGTCGCTTATACTTTTAAGTTCATGTGTCTCTCATATGTGTTGCTTTATTTTTGCTTTTTTGTTTCGGGCATCTTAAATTTACGTTAATAAAATTATACGATTACGCAATTAGACTTGATAAGGAATGACAAATGAAAAATATTGAATTATATGTTTTCAACATATATTGCTATCTAATTACAGGTGTGACCGTGACACCAGTAGTCTATTCAGCTCAGACATTAACAGGTGCTTTGATAGGCACTTGCTTCTGCTCCCTAGTGGCTGGTTTCGCTTTTGGTTTCTGGTTTTCCCAAAGATTGCGTGGAACGCCATATCCAGAGCCTTCCGAGCAACGGCAACAGCTAAACCGACTGACGGAGAGCTCGGAATCACCTGGATTCAACAACAAGTCCATCAATTTGGTGCTAAACGTACCACCTAAGAATCCAAATGGCAAGAATGCCAATTCGTCCGCGGAGAACAAACCAGTACAGAAAGTGAAGAAAACGTACATATGATACAGAAGGCGACATAGAGCCGTCTGAGGCTTGCCGCAGGACCCTACGGGTTCTGGCGCATCTTCCTCCTCCTCTTCCTCCGATCTCGCGGAGTCAGATGAGCGCAACGACGAGGACGACGGTGACGACGACGAGGACGATGATGGAACGACGCCAACGAGTCTTACTACCGGCATCACCACGGATCACACAAGTAATACGCATAAACGCGACGAGGATCATTATGAGAGCGTTGTGAACGACGAAATTTGCGCTCTCGAATACTTTGGCTCCTACGACGTGCAGCAGCAATTTGCTGCAGTACCGAGATGCGATCGGTATCTTCGGTCCGAGTGCGTCGAAACCGCACTGATGAATGAACCGACGACACGCGAACTTGGAGATTCCGGCAGCAGCGACAGTGCCAATAGTCTCGACGATCTTTGTGGACATCGCCTCGCTGCTCGCACCATCGACGACGACGAGGACGACGGCGACAGTCGGTTTGACCGACATGAGACGACGGGAAACGCGCGAGATCACTACATGGTACCTACACGGGATCCGCGTGAGCTCAACGAACGGATCCTGTCGCTCTTTAATCCACAATTCTTGCCGAACTTTAACGACATGATTACGTACGTGGCCACACCCATAAATAGCTCGCCACCGTCCCGGTCTCAGTCTATAGTCCATCGCAGCGTGGATGATGGTCTTCTAATTAAGAATACGAATTATCATAAACGCGGCGGCACGAACTCCATGTGCTTTCGACGTGGACTGACATACGAGGCGCAACGGAAGTGATAGTATCTCTCGACTTTATATCGCATCGCATCGTATCGTATTGCATCGCATCGCATCGCCAGCGTATTTTATGAAAGCGGAAGTCCACTCTTACTATTTACGGTTTGGTCGCAAGGAACGTCGGTAATTTTGTGCGCTTAAGAAGTAGCAGTGTTGGTACTTGAGAAATAATTGTACGTATCTCTTATCTGTGACACAATCTTGAAGATAAAATACGGTCGTAGATATTGTATTACATGCTGCGAGACCTTTCTTCTCTCTTTATGTTAATTTCATAATAAATATACGGCGAGAAGATGTGTTGAAAAGAACACATTGTAAAACACATATCTCGCACATCATATTCTAAATTGTCAAAGGGGCAAAAAAGAAGTTAGTTAATTGTGACATGACAGGCCAAGAATCCTTCTTTTTCTTTAGAATATCTTCAAACTTTCCCGAGTATGTCCATCGCGCGCCCATCGTTACACTCACGAACGGTCATCGTGGAATTATTCTTGTATAAAATTCGATCTTTTGAGGTTCTCTTTTTATTAATTTGTCGAGGATAATATAATTGTGATAACAATATAAAATCAAATGTGAGAAAAACATGTATGCCGACAACGACGACGACGATGACGACTACGACACAACGACGACAATGACGACAACGACAACAACAACGACACGACGCACAACGTTAATAACAACAACGATGGTGACTATGACAAGAAGGCTGAAGAATCGAATCGTAGTAATGTGATATCTTGTGAGGACTGTGTTCGTAGCAGTGACTTGTTATGTGCTTAGACTGATGCAAAATAAAATGAAACACAGTGTAGAGACATTTAAGCATTCGCACGAGAAACGAGGCGTGCCTTTCGTGTATTAATTGTTGGAAGATTTTGATCTATAACAGGAATGGAATATTACTATGGCCGGTACAGATTCGGGCAAGTGCCTCATTCATGCGTTTTGTTTAAGATATCCGATAACACGGAGCAAAGAATAGAGAGAGATTTAAGTAAGACTAATTCGTGTATCGTTGTGCACTTATTATCGTGCTGTGAGTATTGGTAATGATGGAAATAACAGACGAGAACACGATTTGATAACTCTCCTCGCGTGAGATTATAATGGTAACCATATACAATTTCTTCGAGGAATGTACGTAAAGTTTAATCGAACATTTTAGGAACATTTTGTATACTTAAACAGCGTTTCTTTGCGTCTCATTATCTTGCGATAAATTTTACATAGTGACATCTAAGTAAAAGGTACAACAAAGTATAAAAAATGTATTTGTTGTAACTTTCGAAGTATCGCTCGACAGAAATTACTTTATTTCGTCGTAGTGATGCTTAAAATTAATTTCTAATTAGTTAAGCTTGTTATATACATTTAATGCGCAACGTTTTCTTTCTTCTTTTTTCTTTTCGTTTTTTATTTTTTACGCGTCTTTGGTACAGCGAAACTTTTTCCACGTAGACACTCTACCAGAGGGAACTAAAATAAACAAGATTTTAAGGAAGTATTTTCGTTTAGAGCTAAAAAATGGCCTGTCTTGAAATCTTCTTAAAGAAAGTTATTATAGATATACATAAATCTTACGTACTTATTTTGTTCATGTTTATAGGATTTTTGTAGATTTTTTATGTGTGTATATCAAAATATAAAAACTTTCTAAAAATATAACACTTTCAAAAAAAAAAAAAAACCATAAGAAGAACATCATATGTCGTTGTTTGATGTTAACTGACTGATTGAAGTGATTCTACTTATCTGCAATAAGAAAAAAAAGAATTTCTATTACTTAAGAGTTTGATTATATAGCTTGGAATAAGAGAAATAAAATGAGAGTATTTAAAAAGGTATGATTGTCAGAAGCATGTTTCTTGCCGAGATATTACTGAGATATTCTTACTTTGTTTTTATATTATTTTAACAGCTATGAAAAAATAGTAATTTTAAGAATTTATGATAAATTCGTTAACCGAGAATAATTAAAAAACCAAAAATTCCAAATATGTTAATACGTTAATACGTATTTCAATCCTTTTACTAGCCCTTGTTTTTCAGATTAAATGTTTGAATTGTTTTCCATTTGTTGGGGCGAAAAAAAGAAATTGTTTATAAACAACGCCCAACTACAAAAAAATGAAGGAACGTATTCAAGCAATTATCTTCCATTAACATTTAAAGAAGCTTGTATTCGATGGCGGATGTTGTCTAATGCTCGTATTATCTCTTCAGCTGATAGAAATCGACAAGCTGCTTGAATACGTTCCTTCATATTTTTTATAGTTGGGTGTTGTTTATAAACAATTTCTTTTATTCGCCCCGACAGATGGAAGACAATTCGAACATTTAATTTGAAAAACAAGAACTAATAAAAGGATTGAAACACGTATTAACCTATTTGAAATGTTTGTTTTTTTTATTTTTCTCGGTTAATAGTTGAAATAAAAAAAAATGTTTCTAATAAAAGTTGTTTATTTTGAAGAGACTTATTGAGTGATATCACATTCGATACATGTTCCTATATAAAATTTTGAAGTTATCTTCGGTTTTAATCACTTCCAATTTTTTCCGAAAAATCCTAGTAGCAGCAATTGATTCTATGGGTAAGGTTTCCTCTAAAAATGTTTTGTTTATCTCCATATGACACTTGGTTGCCGAATAAAAGAGATGGCACGAGTGGTCCGATACACCCTGTCTATCGTATTAGTTTCTGTTGTTTTCGTATAACAAAAAAAAACATTCTTAGGCATAAATATTTACAATAAAGAATCGAAACTGTATACTCTTGTATTTCTTAAGCTAAATGGATCGTAAAAAGGCTTCATAAATAAGTTTTGGAGAACATTCTGAGAGAACATTATCTTAGATACAACATTAAGAGAAAATGAGAAAATTTTTGGCTTGCAGATAATTGGAAGGTGGGGGGGAGCTTTGAGCAAATTTATGACTTATATGCCACATATGTGTTATATGTTATAAATATACGCGATTTCGTTAATATTTCTATAAAAAATATATTCTAATGAAATCTCTCTCTCTCTCTCTCTCTCTCTCTCTCTCTCTCTCTCTCTCTCTCTCTCTCTCAACCTTGTATCTAAGAAATGCAAAATTCTTTAAATATGGAAAAAGAAAAATCTATTTTGTCAAAGCTCTAAACAGGAATATTTCCTTAAATCATGACGTAAAGTGATTTTGCATAACAGTAATTGCGAAATAATCATTCGTGCGCATTTACTTGATAGTATAGTCGTGGACAGAGTGCCTCCAATGATGAGCGTGTTGAGATTTTCGTAAGATGTCGAAAACGGCAGAAAGTGCATTTGATGCATGAAAAAATAAAACGTGTCCCGTTTGTATCGAGAGTATACCAAGCGTCATATGTGCCTTAATATTTAGTTATTAACATTTAATTATTAGTGTTGTATAATGTTCTGTACAATATTCATACATGCATGTGTAAACACGTTATATTTGCAATCCGTATAACTATATATCCGTATAAAAGTTGTTGTTTTTCAATTTGTTTGTTTTTAATGTTCCAAAACGTGAAAATTACTTAATAGTTTTGAGAATTTTTTCTGTTCCAAATCACATCGAAAAAACATATTACCTGTTTTCCACTGACTATATAAGCAGTTGTAGTTATGATATTAAGATATATATGACACTTTGTTACATCTTACATACAAAAATAACATTAATTAATTAATAAATTTGTAATTAATCTTTATTTGTGGATAGGGAAAAATTCAAATTTAAGCACAAATAACAGAAAATGATCTCACGTGTAATTCTAAAGGCACTTTCTGCTATTCCATATTATTTTCTTTTTTATCGCTCATTAACCAACACTGCCGCGCAAATTCTAACATGCCTCGAGCGAACAGTACAGTAGACACCTGTATAATTTTCACCGATTATCATTGAGCCTTGATACTAAGAAAGACCAGGGTAAACAGAAATATTGTTCAAGTACTTTCGCATTCGACGGTCAATGTAGGGCTCTGTGTAGATAGTCGCATATACAACGGTAACTGTGTGCTGTTTAAGCGAAATGGGAAATCATGTAAATACGTAGGAACTGTTTTTTATCGTTGAAATCATTTAAACGATATGGAGAATTCATTCGTTATGCTACTCGTCATGCGAGCAGCAGTGATAAGCATTAATATTATATATAACATGTCTATTACTGCACATATATACACACATGCATACACATATATACATGCAGATATATATATATATAAATATATATATATATATATATATATATATATATATATATATATATATATATATATATAT